CACCAACATCTTTACATTTATTTATCTACATACAAAAAAATTAAATAAAAAAAATTAAAAAAAAACATGGTCCCATCAAAACAAATTTTCATTTTCACAAATGTTTCTTAGTTCATGAAGGAACAGCAGTAGTAGTAGTGTACGTYCTGGAGCTCCATGGTGTTTTCTCCTTCCTCATGAACAGTCAGCACAACCGTACGGTGGTCTAGGCTTCGCTTCATGGACTCTCCTGCACCTTCAGCACTAATTCAACTTGTCCCGCTGAATCAACAKAATCTTTTACGTACACCTCAACTTTATGAATATGTTAAACCAGGTCTATTCCTCACGTGATTAAAGAAGGAACAATCTGATGTTCTCAGTTTGCCTAAACATTTACATTCATAACAGGTAAGGGTTTAATTTTCAACTCACAAAGTTAATAAGTYGAGAGCGACGTCCCTAAATGAATCCTTCAGAATCCTCTCTGGAACACCTTTAATCCCTGAGATTTGTTACAACTGCAGTAGAGTGGTGCAATAATATTGGTTTTGCAACATTTCAGAGTTTGTCTGTGAGAAGATTTTTCTTACTACACCTTTAGTTTTTTTAAATTAATTAATTAATTTTATTAGTATTTTTCCCTACAGAAGCATACTAACCCAATAAATAAAATGTTGTAACAGCAGGTATAAAAACACAGAGTTCTATAAAAATAACAAAGTAAAAGTCAAAATACCTCAACAGAAAGTGACTTTGGTYAAAATAAATTTCACTAATGAGAAAAGTGCTTAAGTAAAAGTGATAAAACTGTTCACAAAAATTGGGAAAGTAAAGTTATTTTTACACTCTCTAAGAAATAAACTGTTAAATGTACCAAACTGGGTTTTTTTTCTTTGTTAAAGGTAGTGAACTGTCTCTGTCTCTGTTGCACCTGTACACCTGTTCCCCCATGTTTGTCATGTGTGTCTTCTTGGATGGGTGTTCTTAACTGTTTGTACAGCATCTTGTTAATTTATTTCTGTGAAAGYRYCTATATAAATAAAATTTTACTTACTTACTATTGAACCAAGTTGAGTAAATTGAGCAATATACATATTTACTTTTAAAGAAAACATGTACATTGCTTCACATTTACTCTACTTACACAAGTGGAACCAGCTGATACGACTTGGTTGAGTAAATTCAACACTAATGTTTTAGAGCGCATAAACAACTCGTTTCATTATATTTTTTTTTAACAAGTAAATTGGTGTTAAATTGTAAAATATAGAAGTAAAAGTATAATTTTTAGCTGTAAAATGTAACAAAATAAAAGTTAAAGTAACAATTAAAAAAATTGTGTATGTGTATGTAT